AAAGAACAAAAACAAAAAAAAAATAACAACAACATATTCCTTTATTTTAATATTTTAGTATTTAAAAGAATATTTTTTTATGAAAATTATTTGAATATTCGTAAAAAAATTGAGTTTCGTGAATTTTTTTCAATAAATATATTTTGAAATACTGAAAATATAAATAACATTTTTTTTTCGAATTTATAAAATATTAACTTTGGAAATAATTTATATACATGTGGTAATTATTAAATGATTGTGTAAATGTAAAATAGAAAATAACTTAAAAACATCCATAAATAAAAATGCCACCTAATCAATTGAAGAATCCACCTAATCAATTGAACTCCAACTAAGCAATTTTGACAAATGACATCCTCATTTGCCACATGTCAATCATTGAGGGCATAGATCATCTTTTTATATTATACTAGCATTTTCTTCCCGTGCGATGCACGGAATCGGATTTTAAAAGTGAAAAAAATTGATCAATTTAACAAATCGAATTTTTATCTTTATTTATTAAGATTTGAGATATACATATATTGATGAAAAATAGGAGATTGAAACTGGAATGATTATTCACGGTTCAGTGTTAATTTTGATAATTGTTGGAAATATAATTAAAAAATTAGTAAAAAAAATTTAAAAAACAAATAATTACAAAAAAGCCATAAGGTTTCTTAGGGTTGCTCAGCGTTTTTTTCTTTTATATATAAGATTAATAAATTAGTAAAAAAAATATTAAAAAATAAATAATTATAGAAATACCATTAGGGTTTCTTAGGGTTGCCCAACGTTTCTTTCTTTTATATATAAGATATAGATTTTATGAATTTTGTTTGTTATCTATATTTATTATTTATAATATGAATTAAAAAAAAGCCATCTAAGCATGACATGGAAAAATTTCCTCAAAAAAAAAAAAAAAAAGGAATGCTATAGAATTATTTTACTCTGATCTTACATATCAAAGAATTATATTAGGAAAATATGTTTTTTATTTGTGAAATTAACTGTACTGAAAAATAAACCGAGCACTACTCTACTTGTTCTCACAATTTTTGTTTTATTTTTATTTTATTCAATGTCGTTTTATTTATATTCTTATAATTGATCCATTTTTTTAATTAATGCATTTGAAAATTACAAGATTTCATCCATAAAACCCAATTTTTAATTATCATTTCCATATATCTTAATTCCTATTATATTACACATTCTTTTTATTATAAAGATTATACTTCCACCAAATCTGCATTTTTTGTTTTTTAAATTTTTTTGGTAATTGTTTAATATTAAGTAATATATAAGTAAATTATTTATATTATTCCATTTAGTATTTCGTAAGTAAATTAATTAATAAAAGGCATTATTATTTTAATTGTTTTTTAATCTATTATAAATTTTAACCTTAATAGGATTATATTGTCGAACGATTTTGATAATGTTTTTATTAATTGTTTACATGAATAAATTATTTATATGAATCATTTCTATTATTTTATTATTTGACCTATTTTATTTATTCGCACTTTTACTATGACGTTTAATTTTGTTAATAATTCCTGCATTGCTTTAATATTTATTTTTGACAAAATTAATTCGCATATCAATTTATGATTTAAGAAAATTATTTTACCAACCTATTAGTTAGTACATAAATACTTTTTTGCATAAATATTGTATAAATTAAAAAAAAAATGTATATATCTAATTTGAATAAATCACATTAATGGTGTTACAATGTAACACCGATATAAGTATGAGTATGATTATGAGTATGAGTATGAGTATGAATATGAGTATTATAATTAATATGAGTACGATTAGTAGCATTAACATCATTATTAGCATTGTCATTAGTTGACTATCAATAGTAGTATCAGTATTGGTATCTTTATTATTGTCATTATCAATATCAATATGAGTATGAAAATGCGTATTTGTATGAGTATTGGTACGATTATAAGTATTAGTATTAATATAACTATCCATATTAGTATCAATATTAGTATATGTAGTAATGAGTATGAGTATTACTATAGGTATGAGTATGGGTATAGGTACGTGAATGAGTGTAAGTATGATTATGAGTAGGAGTATACGTATGAGTATAAATATGAGCATGAGCATGAGCACGAGTATGAGTATGAGTATGAGTATATATATTAATATTAATATCGGTACTAGTATCAATATCAGTATTAGTATCAATATAGGTATGAGTAACAATATATAAGCATCAATATCAGTATAACTATCAATATGGGTATGAATATTAATATCAGTATCAATATCAGTATGAGTATAAGTATCAGTATTAGTATAATATATATCTGTATAAGTATTAGTTCAATATGGGTATAAATATGAGTAGCAATATCAATATGAGTATCAATATTAGTATGCGTATGAGTATAAGTATTAGTATACATATTAGTATCAATATCAATATATATGAGTATCAATATCGTTATGAGTATGAGTATAAGTATTAGTATACATATTAGTATCAATATGAGTATGCGTATAAATATTAGTATGAATTATAATAGCAGTATTAATATGAATATGAGTATGAGTCTGAATATGAGTATTAGTACGAGTATAAGTATGATGATGAACGTGAGTATAAGCACGAGTATGAGTATGATTATTAATATGAGTAAGAGTTTAACATGCACGCATTATACAAATTTAATATTACTATTAGTATTAGTATTAATAGTATTAGTATGAGTATTAGTATCAAGTATTAGTATTAGTATTAGTATTAGTATTAGTATTAGTATTAGTATTAGTATTAGTATTAATGTTAGTATTAATATTAGTATTAATATTAATATTAGTATTAGTATCAGTATTATTGTATTAGTATCAATATTAGTATCAATATCAGTATCAGTATCAATATGAGTATCAGTATCAATATCAATACGAGTACGAGTACGAATACGAGTAGGACTATGAGTATGAGTATGAGTATGAGTATGAGTATGCGTATTAGTATTAATATTAGTATTAGTATTAGTATTAGGGCTCGTTCAGTTACCACTATAAAGTTCTACTAACTAAATAGTAGGGGCTAATAGCATGTTCGGTTGGTAAGATTCACACTTTTTCAAACTCGCTACTAAAATCAAAGCCCGCTATTAAATGCTACTATTTCTTTAAATTAGTAGCACCCCTCCCCCTGAGATTAATTTAATAGGGGGTGACTAAAAAAGAAAAATACAATTTTATCCTTAAAATCATATTTTATTATTGTAAACTAAGTGGTTTTATAGACAATTCATATATAATAACCGATTTTAACAAATTTAATAGAAAATCTAATCTAAGAAACCGAACATGCTACTAACTAAATAATTAATTAGTCAGTAGGGAGTCAATCCAATCTTATGTAATCCAATCTAATCCAATATAGGTAACCGAACGAGCCCTAAGTATTAGTATTAGTATTAGTATTAGTATAAGTATTAGTAATAGTAGTAACATTAGTATTAACATTTGTTATAGAATTAGTATTAGGTTTTAATGTAGTATTAGTGTTAATATTAGAGGTCACATGGGCAAATATGCGTCACAATGTCGAGAGTTATGAGTAGACGTGGTATAAAAATATTTTTCAAGTTACAATGTCGATATTTACTAATGTTATATGCAATATTCTCTACAAAGAAGCCGATGATACATGATTATTGTTTTAAAACACTGGACAAGACAATGAGATCAATATTGAATTTTCACAAATCTTTTGTCACTTAAACATGTGCAGTTTTTGTATGTTCATGTTTATTTGCAATGAGTATAATTTTCCATGAATAATCGAGTATGTTGTTTTTGTTGTTTTTGTGCAAAATTAGTCTATTCATACATCTTCATTTGTTATTTATATATTTATATTTTTGTGTAAGTAATGGGTTGAACTTATATTTTGAAATTGATGAATATTAACATGTTATTCGTCCTCTAATGATAGATTGACTGTAGTTTCATGTTATAATTTACCAACATTTAGATTTATGCGAAACAGTGGTTCATTGATTCGTTTGCTCATCTTGAAGTTCTTGAAGTTGGTTGTGGGATTTCGAAGCGGATGATATTTATAATATTACCACTTTTTTTTTTTTTATGTAGACTTTTTTCTGATAAAATGAAAACACTTTTTTTTGTTCGTCGATGTTTTTTAATTTGTTGTTTTTAAAATTAATGCATTTTGACATGAGACGTGCATCCCACGGGTGAGATACTAGTTAGTTTATAAAATTACATATTTCCAAACTGAATTAACTAAGTGGAAAATGTCGGAAAAATTACACTTTGTATCCCTCAAGTTTATCTCGATTTTGCATTTGGTCCCCATGTTCACAAAACACACATTTAGTCCCTCATGTTCCAATATTTTATCACTTTTGGCCATTCTATCAATTTTCCGTTAGTATTAATGGAATCAAACAAGTGTCCATCACTTTCTTAACTGACAAAACAACGGTAAATTGACGGAAGTGACAAAAAATGTCAGATTGTTGAAATATGAGGGACTAAATGTAGTTTTTGTACACATGAGGGACCAAATATGAAATTAGTGCAAACTTGAGGAACGAAAAATTATAATTTTCCTGGAAGATATCATTTATTTCAAGCATAGCTACAAAGTTCAAAGTGCAAATCTTTGCAAGATATAGGTAGGGACTTCTATATATCCCTTACTTTTACAAACATATAGATCAAGGCAAGAAAACTGTACTTTTTTTTTTTCTTTTTCTATTTAGACCATAAAATAGACTAATGAATTAATAAATCATGATCTCAACCTAACCATCTTATAATTCTATAATTTTTGTGTGGAAAAGAGCACTAAATAAAGTTTTCCAGTTAAGTATATTTCGATTAAATTTCATTTAATTATTGTTAGAAGAGTGTATATATAAATCCAAGCTAGCTTAAACTTCAAACAATCAAATCTAGTTCATTATATAAGTTGCATAACCATCAATTATCAAGTGAATAAAATGGCCTTTCAAGCTCTATTTTGCATTCTCCTCCTCATTTGTTTATACTCTCACATAGCACAATCAAATTCCGTTAACGAATGCTCGACTACCTTAGAGTTTCTTAATCAATTGGGCGGAATCAAGAAAGGCGATAATGTGAAAAGTGTATACGAACTAAAGAATTATTTGTCGTATCTCGGGTATTTGAATCACAACGGACACTCCAACGATCATAGTCAGAAACATGAAAATGTTTTCGACGATTCTTTAGAAATCGCCATAAAAAAATACCAAGAGTCTCACGATCTTAATATTACCGGACTCTTAGATGCTAACACCATAACAAAAATGCACCAAACTCGATGTGGCATGCCGGACTTTTCGAACCCTAATAAAAGTTTTCCATTTCACACCGAATCTCATTATTCATTTTTCGAGGGTAAACCCAAGTGGAACAAGAAAAACCTCAGTTACGCCTTCAATCAGAACGTATTTAAAGAGGCCCAACAACCGTTAAAAAACGCGCTGAACGAATGGGCATCCAAGACACCTTTCAAATTCTATTACGTTAAAAATATGAACCAAGCCGACATTAAGTTTAGTTTCGTGAGATGGGATCGTCCCGATGCCCTGGCCCATTCTTTACCGCCTCCCGACGGAAGGGTCAACTTTGACGTGAACCGGAGCTGGTCTTATGTCCCTAAAAAAGATTTTTACGATATGCAAACAGTTGCGCTGCATGAGTTGGGCCACGTGCTCGGGCTTAGTCACAGCACAGAAGTTAATGCGGTTATGTATCCGACTGTTCGTACCGGTGTAAGAAAAAGATTACATAAAGATGATATCAATGGAATCAAGGCCTTGTACAAGGGGAAGTGATGTATTAATATTTCTTGCATTTTTTTTTTGGATTATAAGGTCCGGTGTTCGGACGTAGTTGTGCTAATAAATTACGAGGTTAAATACAGTTTGCATCCTATACTCCATACATAGTAATTGTTGTGTTTATCTTTTCGTAATGACGAAAAATATATATTTCTTTCACCCTATCATTTTCAGTTTTTAGCCATTTCAACTAGTCAAATCTAATGTTGCGAGTCGACTACGGTCGTTGAAAATTTTAGGACGGGTTTTTTCCATCATAATTTATAGAAAAATATAATTCGAAATAAACTATGTTCATTATTTCGTAAAAATGGTAAAATTGTTAAAATGTATGTGCGTTTTACCTTTTCTCTTGGAACAAGTATGATAACATCGATTCCATTAGCTGACGGGGCAGGGGATTATTCGGTGAATCTGAGGCGGAGCGGGGCGGGTTAAGTTGCCATGAAATCAATACTTTTCACCAATTCTAAAATTTTCACTAAATGCAAGCAAAGAGTTATTAATGAAATCCTTAATTCGCTCCAAATAATTTATTTCTGCATCAATTATTCATTAAAAAAACAAATCAATCTTGGATGATTTGGATTCGTCCATAAGTAGGGTGGTAATTTGAATCTGAATTTTCGGATTCTGCGATTTCAGTCCTTTTTTTTTTTTTTTAAATAATGTTTATAAGTTTGAATTTCGAATTTCAAATTTCAAAAATTCAGATATTTTATTTTTTGAAATTGGAATATAAATGAGATTTCAATTCCGTTCAGATTTTAATTTCTGAAATTATATTTTTTTCCCGTAAAGTTACACCTATAATACTAATAGGGAAAATTACTGTTTTCATCCCTCAAGTTTGCACAATTTTACATTTGATCCCCATGTTCATAAAAAATATGATCCCTCATGTTCCAATAATTGAACATTTTTTGTCATTTCAGTCAATTCACCGTTAGTCCATTAATTAAGGCAGTGATAGGCACAAGCTTCATTCCGTTAGTTTTAACGAAAATTTGACAGAAATGACAAAAAGTGTTGAATTCTTTAAACATAAAAGATAAAATGTGTTTTTTGTGAATACGGAAGACCAAATGTCAAATATTTGCAAACTTGAGAGACAAAAATTGTATTTTTCCCAATACCAATATTATAAACTAGTTTATGTTGTAGGCAAATAATAAATAGAATTGCCGATTTCCGTTGATTTCGAATCTAAAAAATATCAATTTTAGAAAATATTATGTCATTCGAAATTTACCCATTTTTTTTAATGGAATTATAATTAATGTTTACTTCCAAAAAAATTGATATTTTCAAAAAAAATTAATTCCGATCCGATCCACCCATATCCATTACTGGTTGGTGAATATTATTACTCTTTCATTAAGTATTGATATGCTTTTCTGCTTTTTGATCTTGTAGTTGTATAATTGTATTCAATAAGAAAAGCACTAAGTAAAAGGTTTTCTTTTCTCCTCGGTTCTCCTATCAATATTTAACTCAACGTCTGAACATGATCTAAAATAAATTAATTAGGAGCTTAATTTTACCTTCTTCAAAATTCCATGTCTCAAGGCAATAAATAAAGTTTACCAATGTCATAATGTTGCTATCACATATCTTCTACATAACATGCATGACACACACACACACACACACAAAAAAAAAACACCAAAAAATTCATATATTTTTCAAAGAGTCAATTGATGGAAGTTCAATAGTTGAAATAAGCATCCCACTGCTCGCAGAGAGGCTTCAACCTGACCTAAATCACCTACTCGCGTGCAGTGACCTACCCACGCGTTCCCGTTCACTACACCCAAGGTGAGTGTACAACATGCACCACTTACATAAAAACCAAGCAAATGAAATGGCATCACAAGTTTGTTCATATATATTCCTCTTTTGTCTTCACTTTTATGCAACCCGTGCACATCCATCTAAATCAAATGACAAAACCTCAATCCGCATCGAGTTTCCTAGTCAAAACCTCAAAGGGGTCCATGAGCTAAACACTTACTCCAATAACGAAAGACGAGAAAAGAAAGACGTCCTCGCCGATTCTTCCGAATTCGCCCCTAAAAAACATCGAGATTCATATAACATTAATATACTAGGAGGCTTAGATACTAATACCAAAGCAGGAATACAAGATCCACAACACGGCTTGCCAGATGAAAACGCAATCCAATTTCATACGGCATCGCACTACACATTTTTTTCAGGTCGCCCGAAATGGAACAAGAGAAGACTCAAGTACGCGTTCAATAGGAACGTCAACGAAACGTCCAAACCGCCCCTAGAGAACGCGCTGAAAGCATGGGCATCTGCGACACCGTTTAAATTTATCCGCGTTGACAATCTCAACCTAGCCGATATTCGGATCAGCTTCATGCGCGGGTACCACGGCGACGGGCATCCTTTCGGTGGGACCGACGCGGGATTGGCCCACACATTTGAACCTCCGGATGGGAGGGTCCACTTTGATGCGGGTCAAAATTGGTCGTCCAGTGGTCAACGAGATGCCTATGATATACAAACAGTTGGGCTGCATGAGTTCGGCCATGCTCTTGGGCTAGGCCACACCAGAAACGAAAAGGCCGTCATGTTTGCGAAAATTGACCCCGGTGAGAGGAAAAGCTTACATGAAGATGATATTAATGGAATTAAGGCTTTGTACAACATAAAGTAAATTGTTGATTGATATTAGTTTCCAAAAAATCATTTTCTTAGACATTTGATGATTTTGTTGTATTTTTACTAAATAATTTCAAAGCTTTCTTTGATTAATTTAAGTCAGCCGAATTAAGATTATTATTACATGTTTTATTTCCTTATGTTTTTTTCTAACTTGGAACGAATTTGATAAAGAGGAGTTCAATTTGGAGTCATGTGACATAAAACATTTTATCATTCGAAACAAATGTACCTTAGAGTGGAACACATACATGACCCGGTCCGGGTCGGACTGGAACCAAAATCGGCCCTTGATCAACTGACAAGTTAATCGGATCAGTTAACTCGTCGAACTATACTCTTCTTAGAGAAATTTGCAGGCGCATTTGGTTGTGATTGTTAGAATCCGAGAGGATTCTATTTCGGTTTTTCAACACGTGTGCGAAAAACGTGTATAAAAGCTAGGGAAGTTTCCTTAGTTCTTTAAACTCTTATTTTGTCATTAATTTATTTAATTGCCTAAGTGTTTTATTAACAAGGAATTTAATTGACTAAGACTTTCCTTGTTTTACATAACTCCTTGTTCCTTACGTGAAGAGTATTTCTAACCTAATGGGCTCTAATTTTTGTAGGGCTCTACTAATTCACCTAAGGAAGTATAAGAAGGGCAGCATCAACGTTTTTATACGTTGTCCCTTTTATTTGAGAGAAAAACTTTTTCTGCTCTTACGTTGCTGCTCCTGAGTTGTGATCTTATTCGAGAAGAAAAACACAGCAAAAGATTTGCTTCTTTCACGCGAAAAGAAGATCGGTTCTTCGGGAGGAGAACTCAGAAGATCTCGGGAGGAGGTCGATCCGCCGACTGAGGGACTCAGCGTTGAAGGAATTTCAACCGTGCGGAAAGGGACGTGCTGCAAAGTGAAGATTCACAATTCAGCGTAGGATACAAGAACGGCGTCGACAAAGAGGGAGTCTTTGCATTTTCGATTAAGTCCTATTACTGTATTCGTAAAACTAAAAATTAGTGAATTTCATTTGCAGGTCCCCGTGGATGTAGGGTACAATTGTATCCGAACCACTTTAAAATTTGTGTCTTTTTATTACTGTTCCATTAACTGTTGCAACTCTTCGTAAAACAGTAGAACAGTAGCTAAAACTGAATCTGGAATTTATCGGACACAAATTTATAATTAATTTGCACAAAATAATTCTAACAATTGGCATCAAGAGCCTGTCACTAAATATATCTAGTGAGATTTTGGGAACTGATTACTCTTATTTTGTGCAGATATGAATACTCAACGAGAAGGATCTTCAACTACTCGTCCACCTCTTCTAATCGGCTCCAACTACTCATACTGGAAATAAAAAATGAAGATGTTTATCAAATCCATAGATGAGAGAGCATGGCGCGCCATCATAACTGGTTGGACACCTCCCATGATCAAAGGAGAAGACAAAGAGGAAGTATTCAAACCAGAAGCAGATTGGAGTGATGGAGAAATACTACTCGCAAACTACAACTCGAGGGCCCTAAACGCAATATTTAGTGGTGTTGATGATAATCAATTTAAACTAATAGCGTCATGTGAATCTGCAAAGAGAGCTTGGGAAATTCTTCAAGTCACATACGAAGGAACGTCAACTGTAAGGACATCCAAGTTACAGATGTTGGCCACCAAATTCGAAAATTTGAAGATGGAGGAGAATGAGACGATCACTGACTTCCATGCTAAATTATGTGATATCTCCAATGAATCATACGCACTCGGTGAACCATACTCAGAAAGCAAATTAGTGAGAAAAGCGATGCGCTCATTACCTGAAAGATTCGCTTACCGAATTGCTGCCATTGAAGAAGTCAGAGACGTTGACACGCTCAAACTAGACGAACTCATGGGGAAACTTCTAGCACAAGAACTCAATCATGGTGAAAATCATCGTGAAAAGTCTAGAGAAAAGAAGATAGCCTTTCAAGCAGAAACATCATATGCAACGCCCCAAAATTCGTCAACTCAAGAAGATGAGCAAACAGTTGAAGAATCCTTGGCACTACTATCGAAAAATTTTGGGAAATTTCTCAAAAAGATCGAAAAAAAGGGGAAATCTTCCAAGCACAGGGAAACCCGTGAATTTTCAAAATTCTAGGAGAAATTCAAATCAAGATAACTCAGAGGAGTCAAAACCAAGAAGAATACAATGTCGAGAATGCGAAGGCTTTGGTCACATTCAATCAGAATGCGCAAACACCCTGAAGAAAAAGAAGAAAATGTCATTTACTACTGGTTGGAGCGATGAAGAAGAATCTGATGATGACCAAGGAAACAACAATCAAGTCACTAACTTTGTAGCATTCAGCAGCAAAGTTCCTCTGGACAGCTCAGAATCAACTGTTGCTTCAACTGTTGCAACAGACTGTGAAACAGAATCCAGGTATGAAAATATGTGTTCTTATTATGACAAAAATCTAAACGAAAATTCTTCTTTTGCAGAGGATCCGAACAGCAGCAGTGATGAGGAAGAACCAACCTTGGATGAAGTAAATGAGGTATATGAAAAAATGTACCAAAAATGGCTCGACGTCGTTAAGGTAAATAACTTCCTGGAAAAGGAGAAGTTTGTGCTTGTAGAGGAAAACAAGACACTAAAGGTAAGAATCTCTACTCTTGAGGAAAGGGTCATATCTAGTGATCAAGAGAAAAATAGTTTGCAGGCTAAACTTACTCAAACTCAAGAAGCAATTGCAAAATTGAACTTGGGTAGAGGTAATCTAGATGAAATCTTAAGCAACAACAAGCCAAACTATAATCGTCTAGGCATAGGAGGGAGTCAGCTACCCAAAGTTGATCTAAAGCGAAAGGAAGATCAAAACAGAAAAATCAACTTTGTTAAACAAGCTTCTGTCTCACAAACAGTTGCAACTGTTGAAGCAACGAAACACAATTCAAAGAAAAGGTTTATTCCCACTTGTTTTTTCTGTCAAAATCCAGGTCACATACGTCCTAGATGTTTCAAATATTTAAAACTTGTGAAAAAGCTTGTGGCTCGTTCTCTTTACTCTGCTAGGGCTGATTATTTTCCTTCACCCTCTCAAAAACCCAAAAATAAAATTGATATTTCCAATAGACCTCAGCAAAAAATTTGGGTTGAAAAGTCCACGTTTAAATGCTTATCTGCGATTACTTCTTTAAAAGCAAGTACTACTAATGATTGGTATTTTGACAGTGGGTGTTCACGACATATGACCGGTGTTAAAGAGTTTCTGAAAAACTATCAACAAATCACCGGTGGAGCTGTTACCTTTGGAAACGGAAAAAAGGGTAAAGTGCTAGGGAAAGGATCGCTAAATCATGAGAATCTGCCAAAGCTGAAGAATGTACTACTTGTAGAAGGACTCACGTCAAATCTGATAAGCATCAGCCAGCTATGTGATCAAGATCTTGAAGTGAGATTCAACAAATTCGCATGTCGAGTATTAGACAAAGATGAGAATTGTGTTATTCAAGGAACTCGATCATCTGACAACTGCTATATTCTTGTCTCTGCTGGTATGAACTGTTTCAACAGTCTGTCAGACTCTACAGTGCTTTGGCACAAAAGAATATCTCATGAATTCTCCGCACCTAAAACACCTCAACAAAATGGAGTGGTTGAACGCAAAAATCGCACTCTGCAAGAGATGGCCAGGGTCATGATGAACGCAAAGGAGATCGCTCCTCGTTTTTGGGCAGAAGCAGTTAACACTGCATGTCATATCATAAATCGAGTCTATCTTCGACCAGGTACCACTAAAACTCCGTACGAAATTTGGAAAGGACCACTGGAAGAGGAACCAACAAAGGAATCGGAAAACAGCTCCAGTGTCGCACCAACAGTTCCAACAGTTGATGCAGCCTCTACCATTTCAGAAGAAAGTGACGTCAATTCTGAAACAGGAGACGAAGCTGAAGTCAGGCCTCTCGAATTGGATGATCAAACTCACAAGGAACCCTCAAGAAGAGTCAATAAGAATCATCCAGTGGATCAAGTCATTGGCCCGGTAGAAGAAGAAATTCAAACCCGAGGCTTTAGCGATGCTGATTGGGCAGGTGATGCAGACGATCGAAAAAGCACAACTGGAGGATGTTTCTATCTTGGGAACAATCTCGTGTCCTGGTACAGCAAAAAACGGAATAGTATCTCGCTTTCCACTGCTGAATCGGAATATATCGCCGCTGGTAGTTGTTGTGCCCAACTCTTATGGATGAAACAAATGGTATGTGATTATGGTATTAGTCAAGATTGATTGCATATTTATTGTGACAATGTGAGTGCGATTAATATTTCCAAGAATCCAGTACAGCACTCTCGAACTAAGCATATTGAAATTCGCTACCATTTCATTAGAAATCTTGTAGAGGAAGGAACTGTCTCATTAGAGTATGTCACAACGGAGAAACAACTTGCTGACATCTTTACTAAACCCCTAGATGCACAAAGGTTTGATTCCTTGCGAAATTCGCTTGGAATTTGTATTGTCTGACCTGTGCAGTTGCATAAACTGTTGCAACAGTCTGTGTCCAGACTTGCAACTTTTAAAGTTTTATGGACACATCACGCATACTGCATTTTGTTCATCTAGGTTATGCATTAGACATATTGCATGTGATGAGACCCCTTGTGTATTGGATACTATCTGTACTTTCGAATCTTGTGAGGTAGAACTTCATCAATCCCCAAATGATAGCTACAGAGGCTTTAGCATATTTACTACCCTTCACAGTCTTGTCATGGTTGAACACACTCATAAGGAAAAGCTGCCGCTTCAAATGAGTGAAAGCTACTCTTGAATTTTCGTTAATTCTATATATAAAATGTCAATCAATTGGTCTGTGAATAGTTCGAAGCCTTTTTGAGTTGAGTCAGTAAATCACGTGGCCGAAAGCTCGCTACAAGGCTCAATTAGAAAGCCCAAGGGACTACACATTGCACGACCATTATAAATTTTATATGCGGTCAGTGAATAGTTCGAAGCCTTTTTGAGTCGAGCCGGTAAACCACATGACCGAACACTCACTACACGACTCAATTAGAAAGCCCAGGGGACTACACATTGCACGATCATAACTATCTCGCTATTTTAATTGCTCTGCTCTTCATGAAAAAGCTACCTTTGATAGTGTGTGTATGCTGCCTAATAAGAGTGTTTTTGTGCTTGATTTAAGGACACTAAATTTGCTGTTAGTCTCCTTAGTCTATCTCTTGGAGCTTGCTTTTTGTTAAAATTGAAGATAAACCCCATGGTTTGATAGTCCTAATAGTATCCTATTCACTTGTGTTTATTCACTCATTTTTTTTCTTCTCACGTTTATTTTTCGTCTTAGTTATTTGCCTCTGCATGTTAGGCATTTATTTATTTATTAAATAAAAAAAAAAAAATCCGGGGTGGGTTCGTAATTTTTGGCGGCAATATATTTCTTCGGAGTAACTCACTGTTCTGAGCATTTTTTTCTTCTCGAAGTTTATTTGAACTGTGTTGGGCTTCATATGCGAAAGTTGAGAGTTGCTGTATCTGAATTTGATTTTCATTAATTGAATTTATTGTGAGCATAATTATTATATTTGCAATTCTCTCACTTGACTATTCCTAATTGCTAAACAACCCCTGAGCAGACCAACAGTCATCCTTGGAGAATCCCGTATTCATTTTTTCTCTCCAATTTTTCTTCTTCCCTACTGCTCTGTTTGCTTCTTCTTCTTCTTTTGCAGCAAAACCCCAAAAATTCAACACAGTCGAAGGGAATCAACAACATCGTCATGGGCAAAAGAAATAAAAAAAAAAAAAAAAAAAACATCGGTGGTTCATCATCGTCGTCCAAACGACGGTCCTCACGGCCGCCTCCGTCGACAATTTTGGCAATCTGCCACTCATTTTGGTCCCTAGGTTTTCTCCACCGCTGTCGCCGCCAGTCTCACCGCCGTCACCGTTCATCTATTCTCCACCATCTCCTCTACTGCCACACTCGCCGGCTGCCCAATCGTCACCACCACCGTGTGCACCGCCATCGCAACCACCCAAACCGGCCTCACCTTCACCCCGCCACCTCGCCGCTCTCGTCTACGCGTTACTCACTCTGCCTCGCCTTCCGCTACTCGCACCACCGCAGGTCACTCTGCACCGGATCCCGTGGTGCCTATCTCTGCTGTCGATGCTTTTAATTCTCGGTTCTTTCTCCGAGCGCATCAAACCCGGTGGCGTCTGTCAAGTGGTTCATGATTTTTATGCCAACCTACCTAGTGGGGTCTCTGATTTTCGAGGTCGTTTTTACGAAGAAGAAACTCGACTATTTTACTGCCCTTGCTCAGAAAGGGGGAGATTATTCTTGAGGGGGAGTTGACAACGAAGCATCAACCCAGGAGGAACCGCATACAGGGGGAGCTGATGCAGCTGCTGGAACTACTACTGAACTGTTGTTGCTCCAACTGTTCCAACAGTTGATGGTACAACAGCTGAAGTTGATACGAATGATGACGAGGAGTTGTTCGTTGATGCTGAATGTATTCTGGAGTAGTTTTTTTGTGGTTGTCGAATTGATTTTCTGAACAACGGCCTCTAATAGTCTGCTAGGCTTAACTTTTTTCTTGTTTCGTTAACTGTTTTTTCCTTTAACTGTTCTAACAGTTACTCTATTATGCAGTCTAATGTTTTGTCAGGTATTTGATCAAGGGGGAGGACTTGATTATAATAAATAGATGACAAAGGGGGAGATTGTTAGAATCCGAGAGGATTCTATTTCGGTTTTTCAACACGTGTGCGAAAAACGTGTATAAAAGCTAGGGAAGTTTCCTTAGTTCTTTAAACTCTTATTTTGTCATTAATTTATTTAATTGCCTAAGTGTTTTATTAACAAGGAATTTAATTGACTAAGACTTTCCTTGTTTTACATAACTCCTTGTTCCTTACGTGAAGAGTATTTCTAACCTAATGGGCTCTAATTTTTGTAGGGCTCTACTAATTCACCTAAGGAAGTATAAGAAGGGCAGCATCAACGTTTTTATACGTTGTCCCTTTTATTTGAGAGAAAAACTTTTTCTGCTCTTACGTTGCTGCTCCTGAGTTGTGATCTTATTCGAGAAGAAAAACACAGCAAAAGATTTGCTTCTTTCACGCGAAAAGAAGATCGGTTCTTCGGGAGGAGAACTCAGAAGATCTCGGGAGGAGGTCGATCCGCCGATTGAGGGACTCAGCGTTGAAGGAATTTCAACCGTGCGGAAAGGGACGTGCTGCAAAGTGAAGATTCACAATTCAGCGTAGGATACAAGAACGGCGTCGACAAAGAGGGAGTCTTTGCATTTTCGATTAAGTCCTATTACTGTATTCGTAAAACTAAAAATTAGTGAATTTCATTTGCAGGTCCCCGTGGATGTAGGGTACAATTGTATCCGAACCACTTTAAAATTTGTGTCTTTTTATTACTGTTCCATTAACTGTTGCAACTCTTCATAAAACAGTAGAACAGTAGCTAAAACTGAATCTGGAATTTATCGGACACAAATTTATAATTAATTTGCACAAAATAATTCTAACAGTTTCCAAATAAAATCATATTTATAATTGGCAAAATATATTGTGTATACATTATTTTTTTGGGCAAATGGCAAAAAGGCCCATCACATGGGACTTAAATGCATTTTAGTCCACAAAAAAAACAGTCTCTCAATTAAGCCCATCCCCATGTCTTTAGTCTAAAATACCCTCAATAATATAATTCTTAACAATTCCACCCATTATGCTCTAACTTCCTTAATATTACACATTGACCCCGGATTTAAACAAATATATCACATTAACCCCCAAAACTTTTTTTTTTCAGAAAATAATTTTTTTTCTGAAATGTTTTTTTT